GACATGGATGTTCACTGTTTGACAATTCATAGAACTATATGTTTAACTATTTTTAATTTAAACATAATGTTCTATATTAATGTCTAGAGTTAATCCCTCTTCATTCCTCAGCACCACCACCTCCCATTTCTCATTTTGAGATCATCTGAATCTTAATTTTTTTAATAATTAATTCTAACTTAAGCTTGAATCACGTTTTACTCTTCTTTTCTTTTTTCTTTTTTTTGTTTTTGTTTTTTTGGCATCACAGCTATTCATAGTTCACATTTTCTCTGATTCATCTTTTAAAAATTTGCAGTAGAACTTCTAGACATTCCTTCAGGTTAAAGTGTACAGATAGTCAACTAAGAGTCTTTGCTCATCCATTTTGCTGCCCCCCTTGACTAACAGTTTGTATGGTACACACTATAATTGCATTTCCTTTTTCTCAGAGATTCAAAATATTGCTCTGTGTCTTTTTGCAGGGCCAAAGTGCAACCTAAACTCAATCTGACTCTCATTCTGTTTTATAAATTATATTTGTTTTGACTCACAAAGCTTTAAGAATACTCCCTTCTTTCTCTGATTTTCCATAATTTTGCCACAAGGTAAAGTGTAGGTTCTCGATGGGCCCTTCCAATCTGTGTGAATTTGTTTCAGTTCTGTGCATTTTCTTGTCCTATATCTTTGAGTACTTCCTTCCCTCAGCTCTCTCTGTTCCTGAAATGCCCACCAATGAATGTTGGAGCTTCTTCAACTACCTGGCATGTCCTGTAATATTTTTTTAATGTTTATTTATTATTGAGAGACTGAGAGAGACAGAGCATGAGTGGGGGAGGGGCAGAGAGAGAGGGAGACACAGAATCTGAAACAGGCTCCAGGCTCCGAGCTAGCTGTCAGCACAGAGCCCGACGCGGGACTCAAACTCACAAACCGATAGATCATGACCTGAGCCAAAGTCATAAGCTCAACCAACCAAGCCACCCAGGCGTCCTGTAATATTTAAATGTCCTTTCTTTCTTTTTATCCTTCTATGCTACATGTTGTAGAATTTCATGACTCAGTCTTCCAGCTACTCATTGGTTGTGTTCATTCTGCTATTCAGTCAGCTTACTGACATCTTGTCATAATTAAGCTTATTTCCAGGAGCTTTAAATAAAATCATAACTTCCTATTCTTATTTTATATTTCTTAATGTATTTTATTTGATCTATTAATTCTATTAAAGCTGATTTCTTTCTTTCATGTGGTTATTTCTTGCACACATTTGGTAATCTATGTCATATGCTTATCTCTGTATTTGAGATTCCTCATTAGCCATATAAGGCTACTAGCAGCTTATACCCCATGAGTGGGAACTTGGCCATCTCGGTGACAGTGGCAGTCACCTGGGGGCATGACTATGCCTCTGTGTCTCAAGTGGACCCACTTACAGCTGGGGGCAAAGACCTCTGTCACTCACTGCCTGGCACAGGACTGGGGCAGGAAGACGCACACCTGGCCTGCTCTTCCTACTGAATTACTCGAACTTGCCACCATGATGGTGACCCACCTGGTACTCCCCCTGCCCTCTGAATTCACCACCTCAAATCTCAAAGAACACCGAAACCCAAAACTTTCTCTCAAGTAAGTCCTTGACCCTCAAAGTTCATGCTTGCAAAATAAAGAATTAGAAATAAATGACCTCTCATACTCCTTATTTCTACTTGGAAGGATCTATTGGGCAGTGGTTAGAAATCCACATTATAATATCCAGCCAGACTGCCTGATTCAAATCCCTAGTTCAATCACTTGTAACCTGGGTGACTTTGTCAGTACTCTCTCTGCGCCTCAGTTTTCTCACCTGTTAGCTATGGATACTGATAATAACCTGCCTCTGAGGATGATTGAGAAGTTTAAATGGGCTAACACAAATAAAGGTCTTTGATCAATACCAGTACACATAAGTACTCAACAAATATCAAGAACTATTACTCTCCCAATTTAGAGATTTTGTGACTGTAGTCTTTATTCTCAATATTGAAACTCACCCATGCCTGGACCTGACATTAACAACAGGAACAGCATCAACAACAACAACAAAACATAGTGCTGAAGGGAAGAGGCACAGCTGCCAACAATTTGGGGACATAATTAGAATTTAAAATCAAGAATTTCTCTTCTTCTTTTGATTGTCAGTTGAAATCATATTTTTACTGGATGAATTCCTCACATTTTGGAGCCTTTGACTACATTGGATTCTACTTCAAAGCACATGAATTCAGTCTCAATTCCTATGGTGTTTATAGCACGGTGCTAGCTGCTGGAGATAAAACATACTATGCTCACATATGCAGAAATACAGCCAGGAAGGATTTTCTGTTGCATTTACAACTTGACTGGGCAAGAAATTCTTTAATCATATATTTCGCCTCAAACCTGTAGACTAGGTTTCCTTGGCTTCAGAAATTTAATACAACATGAATATCTAGGGACTGTCTGTTTACCCTTTATAAGTGAGCTATTTTCTTTTTTGCCCAAATGCTAAAAGAATTATTTTCTCAACCTTTTATTTTTATAAATTTTTTAGCAAGTCAATTTAAGACCCATCTAATCAGGTGACTATCCATGTTAAGAAAGTTTTCTTTAATGGTGTCTTTAATTATTAATTTCATGCCAATTAATATACTTGCTTTCTTGGAAACACCATAATTCTTAGGTTCTCTACAGCTGCAAATTTCCCTTTTATTATTTCCTGTATATCTTAAGACAAATGCTGAAATACACCCTATTCATCACTAATTAAATTTTCCAGTACATCAGTTCTGTTTCTTTACTGCCTCTAAAATTTATTTAAATTTTGCTATTATATTTTTAGTTCCCTGGCAGTCTTTTTATATTTCATTCAATTCTTTCACACCTCATCACAGTTTATTTTAATAGATCTCTGCTTTAATTCCATGGATGCCATACCTTCCTAAAACTTATCAATCATACCAGAAAGTGTTCTAAAGTTCTCTTCTGGTTCTTTTTTTAAATTTTTTTTTTTTATGTTTTATTTATTTCTAGGAGAGAGAGACAGCGTGAGCAGGGGAGGGTCAGAGAGAGAGGGAGTCACAGACCGAAAGAGGCTCCAGGCTCTGAGCTGGCAGTCAGCACAGAGCCCGACGCGGGGCTCGAACCCACGAACCGCGAGATCATGACCTAAGCGAAAGCCGGACGCTTAACCGACTAAGCCACCCAGGCGCCCCAATTCTCTTCTGGTTCTTGCCGCAAATAATTTTCTGAAGTTTCTTTTGTGTTTTTTTTTTCTATAGCATGATGTATTCATTCCTTATTTGAAATTAGTTGGGTTTTTTTCCACAACCACATATTTTTTCCCCACTTCCTTAGCCTTGAACCTGGAATGTTCTCTTTAGAGAAAAGGTGTGTGGGTTCCCACCACCTCCACTATTGTGCATCTGACTGCTTCTCCAATCCTTTCACTCACTTGTAGCTAAAGCATTGTTTGAAGCACATGATGGGTAACATTATTTAGGACAGAAACAGTCTACAAGAATATGAGGATTTCTAAATTAAATATTAAGTATACAGAATACATGGGTAAGAGGTGTGTGTATGGGGGCAATTCTTATGTTTTAGATAGATACATAGATACAGAGAGAGAGAGAGAGAGAGATTTTATCTTGGAGAGAGAGATAGCACAAGTGGGAGAGAGGTGCAGAGGGAGAGAAAGGGAGAATCTCAAGCAGGCTCCATGCTAAGTGTGGACATGGGGCTTGATCCTATGACCCTGGGATCATTACGTGAGCTGAAATGAAGAGCTGGACACTGAACCAACAGAGCTACACAGGTGTACCTTGTGTTATATTTATTGAGTAAAAAAAGAAAAGAATAAGACAATGGATTTGGGAAAACAAAAATACAACACACGTAATGTGGATGAAGAATACATTTGAAGTTGGCATTCAACTATGGAATAAAGAAACCCATTGAGACAACCACACAGCTTCCTCACCCATCATCCCAACATAGGGCCTCTATCTAAGGTTAATGATACTGTAATAAAAAAAAATAATAATAAAGTCACACATCCAAAGGAAGAAAACATCAGTCAGGGATGAAGCAACACATGTTCTGGCTTGCTCCAGCTCAAGGAAAAGCTGAGAAGAAGTTTGAGGGGAAATCATAATATATGAAATCATAAGTAGGGCCTGGGTTGAAATAAAATAGGGCATACAGAGCCTGTGAACTAGAGAGTGCTAGAGAGCCTGTTGAGTACTACACATTCATGGTTCTCTTCCCAGAATGTTTGTAGTTGGCATAGATGAATCATTTGTTTTTTAATCTACATTGCCTCATTTGTTTTACCTGTCAACATTGCTGGGTGGAGGAAATCTTGAACTAGAAATGGAGGAGTCCAGTCCCCAGATTTGCATGTTCTGGCTGGTTTTCTATCAATTAGGTAGCATAGATTTGCATTTTCTCTCCACCTCTGGCTGCCATGTTAAAGAGTCAATCTCACTGGTCCAGGAGTGAAGAGCAAAGAACACCTGATTTTAACATAATTCCCAGTTTCTTATTGGCTCGCATCTACTGTAGTTCACTGGACTGTTAGAAAGCTCTCTCCTCCTTGTATGATCTGACTCTCTGACATTCTGAACAGAGGGGATAAATGAAATATACAAACCCAACAACATTCCACCAGGGTTCTTTCTGTCCTTCACACACCAAAAATACTCTACTTGTGAAGATGAAACTACCTCTGAGGGAAAGTGCCAATACCTGTCCTTACTTCCTATGAGTTAGTTGTACTGGGGGAGTTTCATTCAGTCTTCAAATGACGGCAAAAAGGAAAAAACTGCTAAGAAAAAGAGGGGCTAGGGGCACCTGAGGGACTCAGTTGGTTAAGCGTAGGATTCTTGATTCTGGCTGAAATCATGACCTCATTGTCGTGAGATGGAGCCCTGTGTCAGGCTCTGAGCTGACAGCGCAGAATCTTCTTGAGATTCTCTCTCTCTCGCTCTCTCTCTCTCTCTCTGCCTCCCCCTACTCTCTCTCTTTCTCTTTCAAAAATAAATAAACATTTAAAAAGGAAAAAAAGAAAGGCAGAGGCTAGGAGATGGAAGCAAAGACAAAGTAGAGAGATGGATGTCTGGAATTTAAATGGACACAGCTCTTATGTTTCTGAACCCGGGGGGAGGCAGTAACAGGAGGGAACAAAGCAAACTGACACATGGGTGGCACAATACAAGGAGCCCTTGGCTAGACTTTTCCATTCCATGTAGAGCTCTTAACCTGTACTCAGCAGAAATGTCTTCCAAATATGATGATCCATTGGCTATCACTCAAAGTTTTTGAGCTGTTGTAAGCCTTCATCTTTTGTATATGCCTTCATATGTAATCATGGTGAAAAGTTGGGACAGATTCTCTAACATAAGATATGTCTTTCCTACATAAGTGAGAAGAATTGTTAGTTCTGTAGGTTGTGTATTTCTATATTTTTGGATGAAAAAAATTTTAAGTTAGACTTATGTCACCAAAAAAGTCAGGTGGCACAGAACGTATTGCACATATTTTAACTAATGACAAAAGTGTTTTATTTACTAAGAAGAAATATTTTAATCAATCGAAGATTAGTAAAGAATATATTTACTGATTTACAGAAAAATTTAAAAATCTCACTCTTTCTCATATTTGTAAATAGTTACATTTTTCCTTTGTGATTAAAATTCAGAGAGACTCCAATACAAATGAGATATGTTTGTCAAGGGAAAGAATGAGCATAAGCAATGCCAGACAGTGCCAAACCTTCATGTAGGCCACAGTGATCCAACTCAGCATCCAGCAGTGATACCAGATCAGGCACAGAGTCTTCAAAACATCAACCCCAAAAGCAACCACAGAAGAGACTTTGTATTTGATTATCTGACATAAATTTGACCCACGAAACATGCATTCTGTGGAAAGGACTTGGAGGAGCCACCTCAAACTATCTCACACAATCAATGAGAAATTTTTATACCACCTTGGACAATGAGAAGACTGCATGGAGAGCATGGAACTTGTCGCTCACAGCACAAAGAAACCATGAATGTAGAGGAGAACTGGGGAGAGGGGGCCAGCATCACAGCAGCTGAACTTAACCTACCTTCTCCTACAAAGCTGCTACAGCCACACTTAACCAACACAGTGGCAATTGGGAAGAGGGAGTCATAGGGCAGGGCGGGGAAATGGAACTTCACCCAAGACCAGAAATACACCTTGACAGTATGACTGTCTAGGTCTTTGACTTAGACATTGTTAGCAGTCATTCCAGAGCATTCTGCTAAGGCAGAATTCAGACAGACGTATCAAAGAATTAAGGTCCCCGGTCCTGGACTTATGAACACGTAGGCATTAGGCTTTCAGTAGACTAGAGCCTGATGTGAAGTTGAGAGTCTTCCTGACAAAGGTTTCCAGGTGCATCATGCCTAGACCCAGGCCTGCTCTCAGGTTGTAACCAAGCATGAGGGCTCCAAGAGGAAACAGGTCCATGTGGTTGGAGTACAGAGATAGGGGAACAGGGAGCCCAGCAGTCAACAGTGAGGGCAGTCTCCCCTCTGCAACCGTGCATGCCGGGTACTTAGGGTTAACTACAGAGGAGAATTCTATGAGGAAGGGGGTGAAGAAGACACAGAGGACAGTGCTTCATGATGATGGCCTAGGAGACTCAATAAGGAAAGCTGGGACTAATTTTTAAATGCACTGCAGCTCTCCTGGGTCAACATCAGATTCACAGGACAAACACTATCCTCCTGGGCAGAATGAGTACTGGTCAGGGCAGGCTTATGTCCTTGAGCTCCCACTTAAATCCACCCCAGGCCCTACTTTCTCCCAGTTGAGAAGCATCTTACAGGGCATTTCCCATGCAGTAGAAGAAGATGGCTGAGGAAGAGGCAAGGCGTCTTGCCCAGAGATGGGCCATGGTTTTAACAGCTGTAGAAATAGAGGTGAGTTTCCAACACACATTCCATTTAAACATTTCTTCTTGCCACCCACATTAAAGTGGTTTCTGAGTCTGTTATCTCTCAGAAGTGTCCTAATGACTTGAACTTTCAGAATTCCTTCATAATGAGGTAGGGAACTTAAAGTCAGTACCATGCCCGATTATGTTGACCTGCCTGTGACAGAGGGTGAATTATATGCTTGAAAGCTTAGCGTGGGGAAAGGTTAGGGAGAGAGAAAGGGCCTTTGACACTAATGGACGCAGTTGAAAGTCAACTACAGGGTGAAAGAAGGATCAGGACAATGGAGCTGTGATAGGAGTCAGTCAGCTTTGGTTATTAGCAAGAACACAAACGCACACGTTCCTTTAGGGGGAGACTGGACTGCGATTTTCTTCCAGCTCCCCGGCACTAGACAGCGTGCTCCCTTCAAGGAGAGCAGACCCTGCCATAGAAGAGAATGGTTTGGGTTTTGTTGTGCCTGATGAAAAAGAAAAAAGGGTGATTGGCATTAAACGTCACCCAGGACAGTACGGACCTTTCCATGCTGGCAGCCCCACTGGCGGCTACTGCCTGGGTGCCATTTTCATCCACCTCCACAAAGGTTTTATGGACAACTTTTGACAGGTACAAATTGGGACTCAGAGAGATGCCAGTAAGATCAGCCTTCCTTTCCTCGAAGATATCCGTGATGCCCATGTCCTGTAGAATAGAATTCAGATCATAGCTGTCTTCCAGGGTGAGCTGAGGGAAGGAGACGGCTACTGCTTTTTCTGACATATTTTCTGAGCTGCTCCAGGCCATTATTTTTTCATGGGTGATGTTCCTTTCAAGCTACAAGAGGAAGAAAATAATGTTTAAGGTCAGATTATGAGCCTGCATAAGATGCCCCAATGACTTCAAAGGACCTGAGTCTATTTCAACAGCCAGTAACAATCTTCGAGTTCCTTCCCTAAATACTTCCTCAAAATACTCTTATTTCATTTAAATTCCTCCAAGCAAGTCTCTTTCCTCTTGAAAAGTCACCAAATAATTTAAGTTCTGATGTCCTTGTTAGAAGTAACAAGACAATCTGAGTACTTTGTCCTCTGATATTGAAGGCCTTTGCTCCTTCCCTAGCCTATCCCCACACTACACTTTCTGTCCTTTGGTGTCTGACAGACTAGCATCTGAGTGCCGAAGCCCAGCAAAACTCAAATGACCAAGTTGGGTGAGTGTGGCCAGGCTTTAACATTCTTAAGTTCAATCCCCCCTTCTATAAAATGGAAACAATACCATTAGGCTCTTGCAAGCATTGAACAAAATAATGTATGTAAAGGATTTAGTATAGTGCTGGCACACAATAAATTTTGAATAATGGCTATTATTGCAATCACTGTCCAGGTATTTCTCTCTCACTTTCTCTCTCTCTCTCCCTCCATCTCTCCTTCATGGAACAATATGTAGCCAGGCTTCCCCAGCCTTCATGAATTCCCGCATCACAAGCAATCTATTCTGGTATCAGCATCTCTGCTATGTCAAGGCACATGCACCCAGAAACAGAGTTCAGCTAAATGGTTGTTCCATGAGCCGTAGCAAAAACAGTTTGAACAAGAGGCCAGAAGTCAGGTAATTCAGAGACATGAGAAAGCTGTTTCAGGTGTAGCAATTCTCAAGTCACTCCACGTTCAGATTCGTAAGTCTGGAGGACAACTATAGAAGACTATGAGATTGGAGAGGAAAGTCCTAGCCAACGTTTTTGGCATTTGTTCTTTTCTAAACACCAGAAGAAAACCTACTATCTCCTAGAATTCAGATTCTTATATATTCTTTGCTATCTCTGAGAGCTGAGGTGCCGGCCTTCCTCAGGACAGTAAATGGTAACTTGGGCCGCTCTCCAAAGGTCTACAATGAGATATTTCATAGACACTTGAAAGTGAAGACTTACCTCTTCCAGGCCCCTCAAGTTGTCTTCAGAGAAAGCTGGGAGCAGGACAAACATGCTGAGCTCCCCCTTAGTGTACCTCATCTCAAGGATCTGTGCCTTCAGCTCCTCTATGAAGCCGATCCTAAATAGGCCCTTTTGATTCATCATCTTCACGGTCTTCTTTTCATTCTGTAGTGGACAAGATGACAAGTCACGGGACTGCCAGAGTAGCTCACAGACTCACACGGTCCCCATCTCCCCTGAAAACGGGGCTCCATTAAGATGAGAAGGGTCTTCGCCAGAAGCTCTGAGCCACACCAGTGATCCAACCTAACAGTTTTCTGCCCATGGATCAGTCAGCCCTTCCTTTACCAACACTTTTTTCCCCTTGATTTTAATAGGTTCTTCAGCTCCCAGTGTTGGTAAACTGTCTATCCAGGCATCTACTTACAGCCCAGCCAGTGGAAACAAGCCCCATCAGCTTTCTACCTCCCCTGCCTGACCTTGGCTGGCAGTCTCTTGCCTCACCTTGCCCTTGCTGGCCACACAGCACCAGTTGGAGCCTTGGTTAAATGATAACCATCTACATATTAAACAACAACACTTGTTCCATAGGCTTCCATCAGACGAAAAGACACCACCCCAAACACCCTGTGTACGTGCAGGGTCATCAGTGTATAGATGAGGATGTACAGTGCCTGCTAACAGGTGGTGGGCTGGAGTCTGATCCTTCCCTTTCCTCCATTGTATAGTCTGGTGCCTTAGAACGTGGGTTTTGGAGACAAATATTCACAGATGTGAATGCTAACGCAGGAGTTTAGCTAAGTAACCTAACCCTTGCATTCTCCTCCTCCATTTCTTCTAAAGTGAGAAAAATAATAACACCCATTTTCATAATGATATTTTGGGGAACAAATGAAATAATGAGTGGAAAATGCTCAGTGCAGTGCTTGGCACCAAGATGCCCAGCGAACTTTGCTAATAACAAAATATTCTTATTATATTGTATGCTGCAACCCACAGACCTGTTTTCAAGTTGAGTATACCTACTGAAATCATAATTTCTTAGTGGAAATTATGAGTGAAATCTCTAGAAAACCGTGAGTTCTAACATCATACCTCATTTAGAGAGAAAGGTGCATCCACTGTGTTTTCACAGTCAAAATATTTTTCCCATTTGGCCTTGAAGTAAACAGCATTCACCAGCACCAGCACAGTTGCGCTGTTAATAGTGTCCTTGCTGAAGAGTTCCTTGATTTTACCTTAAAATAAGGTTCCAGAGAATATCTTCAATATGAATCATGTCAGAAGGATTCACATAGACAGGTTATTCTTAATGTCACTTAACATCCTCAAGGCTAGAGCATGTCTGATTCAAGAACTAACCCAAGAAAACTATACCACTCATCATCCCGGGTAGGGTGGAGGTGAGGGTAGAAATTATAGGGGAGGGACTGTCACTCAACCTGAGGAAGGACCCGTTCTAAAGCACTGACTCTGTTTTGATTCACTGAATCACAGTGTTGGAACTTGCCATCAGCTATCCTATGCCATGACTTATCTTTCGAAGTAGACCCTGATGCCTGATTATATTATAACCTTCAGGAAAAACAGAACTATTGTGGAAACTTCCTATCTCAAGCACTCATCACAGCAGTGTATATGTTTAAATATAAACAAAAAGGCATGGAATGTGCTAGGCCAGGACACAAAACCTATTTGATAGGGGCTTTCACATGTGCTCTTTCATTCCATCCCATGTCAACCACGAGAAGTGGGTATGGTTATCCCTTTTGACAGAGGAATAAACTACATCCAGTGAGAGGTGAGGCCACACAGCCAAAAGTCAGCAAGGTTGGCTGAGATTAGTCTGGGGCCTTCCAGCGCCAGGCTCCTTCCACAATAACACAGCCCTGAGGCAGACTAGAACATCCCATGCTGTCAAGCAGTCATCCATTTTCAGTACACATCCCTTTCTACCTTTGAATACCAAACCATCAGTTATTTGAATGCAGGCTGAGTCCTTAAAGAAGAGTAGAGCTTTCTACTGCAAGACTTCCACTTCAACCCATAATAATACATTATGTTGACATCACCTACACTTAAAATAGTCCAGGAGAGTTGACTAACTAGGAAAAGGTAGAAGTTCATGTCTTAATATGAACTTTTTTTTTTAATGAACACACTTTCTTCTTGGATCTGAGTGGAACCTTGAAGGAATGGGAATTTTTGTGGCATGTGGACCAAGTAAGAAGAGATAATTTTGGAGTTTGGGTGCTTCTCCCCAAGAAAAAACCAGACAGGGGATTTTCCCATTAAAAAATTATTCTGCAGGCATCTGAATGGCACAGTTGATTAAATATCTGACTCCGATTTTGGCTCAAGTCATGATATCATGGTTCATGGGTTCAAGCCTCACATGGGGCTCAGCACTGACAGCCCAGAGCTTGCTTGGGATTCTCTCTCTGTGTCTCTCTCCCTCTCTCTCTGCCCCTCTCCCACTCTCTTGCTTGCTCTGTCTCTCCTCTCACTCTCTCTCTTTCAAAATAAATAAACTTAAAAAAATTATTCCATTTTACATTGAATTCATAGTTTCACTATTCATCACTATCTCTAACTCCCTTCACCCAGAGAACACTTATGTACTTAGTGATTGTGATTTTTATCATTTCCGTTTCCCTCTAAATAACTAGATTCTCTTCTACTAAAACTTTTTAAAAATAGAAACAGTTAATATATTGACGGCACGTGCTTGCCTAAAAGCATTTTACCTTTTACGATGGAGCAAAGGAGCATCAGTAAGTAACATAGCAACTAAGCATTTGACTCTTTGCACCTGCAAAATGGGCTTTGAACATGGCCCATGTATGTGAGTACCTGGTCTGGACAGACTTGCCACCTGAGAAATTGGGATGACTTTTCTCCTTTTAAATGGAAAGGAAGACCAGCCACAATGTGTTGGGTCTTTCTTACCTTGGCATTGAGATTCAACCCAAAAGTTAATCTGTTGTCTGGACTTTTCGGTGTCTTTCCGGAAATCAACACTTTCAATGGTCGTGTGGTAAAATTGAATCACACCGTCTAAGTATTCCTGTTAAATTGAAATGAGAAGTTCATTTAAAGGGAAATAGTGCAATGAAATCAGGTAACTGTGCTAATAATTAGGAGGAAGGCAGTCAGGAGAAGCCTAACAAGAGACATGTGCCCAGTCACTTAAACAGGATGCATGTCATCTCTATGCCCACTCTTAATTAGCCAGTGGCATTTCACTCATTGTGGTCACAATTTAGGGATTCATTGAGGTGACAGTTTAGGTTACAGAGTGCTTGTTCATGAAGTAATCCATAATTACAAGGGCACAAGCTTTTCCTACCAGATACCCTTAACCTTGGACATCCCATTTGTGGAGATGTTGCAACATGAATATCAAGTAACTTGAGAGACTTAGCTGTAACATTCATCTATTTTTAAGAATTAAAACCTCACTTACTGGTTACAGAGTTTCTGGGGTGACAAAAACATTTTGGAAATCAGGTGCTGCTTACACAACATTGTGAATGTTATTAAGCATCTAACTCTTGATTTGGGCTCAGGTCATGATCTCATGGTTCATGAGTTTGAGTCCCATGTGGGGCTCTGTACTGACAGTGTGGAGCATACTTGGGATTGTTTCTCTCTCTCTGCCTCTCCCTTGCTCTCTCTCTCTCTTTCTCAAAATAAATAAATATTTTAAGAATGGTTAAAATAGCAATTTTTATGTTTTACTTTACCACAATTTTTTAAAAGTTATAAGGTAATATATCAAAACCACTTGTATGTACATTTTTAATAGGTGAATTACATGATATGTGAATTTATACCTCAGTGAAGCTAGCTTAAAAGAAAAAACAGTATATAAAATCTTATTTCCATTGTAAGAGAACATATTTATTTTGGCCAAAGTAGGCTAAGCCTATCCCCTTACTAACCAACTGTATCACACATTTGCCTATGGGCACACCCCTCAAGTTTATTGCTAAGTCTGTGGCTCCTTCCAGTGGTGACAGAGTAAATTGAAGCCTGGACTCAGATACATCTTGATGGATGTACACACTGCTTAGCCAGGCCGATAAGCCAAGCCTTTTTGGCTCCAAACGCAGTCTCCTTCTGCTACACCATTTTGCTGCTAAGTGTGTACAATTTTATTGAGGGGTGTCCTGATTGTGGTGTGAAAGGTGATTTTAGAGAAGTGTTGATAGGGGGTTGGGGAAGGACCAGAAGAGGACCTACCAAGTGTATCTACCAAGCATCTTTACTGGGAAAGACAATCACAAAAGAGAAGGTCATTACCAAATAGCTCCGAAAGCCATTAGTCACATGACCCTCTTCAGCCCACTGGAATCAGCCTCATAAACTGCTCAAGTTGAAAACTGGGAGAAGGGCAACAGAACAGTGTGGGAGAGAAAGAGGTGGGCCCCAGACAGCCCACCAGGCCACGGCACATCCTCCTGTCAGAGAGGACTGTGTTCCAGATGGCAGATGAGTAATCCAGCTACTCACTGAATTTTTAATTAGTATGCTATATGATAGTTTTAATCACCAGCCCTGAACTCACCGGACAGATGAGGAATCCTTGCTCTCCGTAAAGTCTGTTGGCAATACTTAGGGTGTAATCAACTCTGATCCTGTCTAACTTGGAGAGAAGCCGCCCGAAGTAGCAACTGAGCAGTCCGTTCTCATCATTAGAAGACGCAGCCTAACAAAAGAAGAAAGAAAATGTGATTTCATCAGGGAGATGAAATGCCACTAAAGCACATTGTCATTTCACTTTACTACCATGTGGGGGAGCAATCTGAGAGGAAGAGAGGAATAGAGGGCAGGAAGTGGTCCCAAGAGAAGATCATGGCTCCCACTCGGTATCAAGGTCATCTGGGGACGATACAACTGGGGACTCAGCAGTGCACACTACACTTAGATCAGTGCACATTATTCTTCTTTCTATTCAAAAAGATGCAAGGAAAAGACAATCTTCTCTCCACCCTCCTCTTAAACTTTCTAAGGTATGAGGATGTATAACCTGGAGAATATCTTTCCCATTCCTGCTATGAGACAACCAGTAAAAGCTTTGTGTGTCGGGAGATTTCGGCATGAAATACAACAGGCAAAAGTGGAGAAAGGGAGTAAGACTCCCATAGCTGATCCATACCCCTTACTGCCCTTCATCTTCAACCATGCTCCATCCCAGGGACCTGTGGCCTGTACAAGTAGGTGAGTAATGGGCTTTTGATCTAACCATCTTTGTCATGAGCAGAAGATGCCTGATCCTACTCTTTCGGAAACTAGCTGACAGCCAATGACATATAAGATACATAATAAAGAAGGAATTGGAGGTCGTATGGGGTTATTGCTATTGTGCTGTTGATGACAGCCAGGACCTAGTGTTTGGGGATAAGCAACCATTGCCAAATATAGCCCAGCCAGAATGAGTGGTTCAGAAGAAGAGGGGCAGGAGTCTGCGGTGGCTCACCTGTGGAGTCAGAGACTCCCGTGTTCCCTTCTGCCCCTCCAGAGAGCTGTCTGCCAGTTCTTCTTGGTTTTTACTTTTCAGACAGGGATCAGGTTCCTTTCTTTCACCCTGGGAAAACTCACAGAAGTGTAGAACCTGCATGAGCATGATGGTGATTACAGGGCCTTTCAGACAATATGAACAGCACGAAGTCTGAATAGCTTCAGAAACATTTGTATCGTGTGACAGGGACAATGATTATATCGTCAAACAACAATAGTTTAAAGGGCAGTGGAAGTTTCTTTTGACTTGCCTGTGGGGTGGAATGGAAGGAAAGTAAACTGCATGCTATCTTCTGGGTCTGCATTTAAGAATGAATGTAACCAGGGGCACCCAGGTGGCTCAGTCGGTTAAGCATCCAACCCTCGGTTTTGTCTCAAGTCATGATCTCACAGTTCATGAGATTGAGCCCCACGTCCAGCTCCGTGCTGAGAGCACAGAGCCCGCTTCAGAGTCTCTCTCTGCCTCTCTCTCTGCACCCCTCACTAGCGCTCTCTCTCTGTTTCTCTGTCAAAATAAACAATTATAAAAAAGAGGAGTGCCTGGGTGGTTCAGTTGGTTAAGTGTCCAACTCTTGATTTCAGCTCAAGTTATGATCTCAAGATTCATGGGTTTGAGCCCTACATTGGGCTCTCCATGGGCAGTGCTTGGGCTGGAGCCTGCTTGGGATTCCCTCTCTATCCTTCTCTCTCTTAAAATAAATAAATAAACCTTAAAAAGATTTTTAAAAATTTTTAAACAATGAATGTAACCAAATGAAAAGAATATGGAGATATCCATGAGACACATGTAGCCATTGAGCCCATCAAACTGTTAGTGTAAAATACATATTGGATTTTTGAAGACTTAGCATGAAAAAAAATGCAAAATATCTCACTTAAAGTTTTAATTGATTACATGTTGATACGATATTTTGGGTGTATTAGGTTGAATAAAATAAAAAATATTATTAACATTAGTCACACCTACTTCTTTTTACTCTGTTAGTATGACTATTAAAGCTTTTTAAATTATATATGGTGTTTGAATTATATTCATGTTAACACCGGTCTAGACCTTACAATCAATCAAGTGAGGACAGCAAAAGACTTGTTATCCAGAGCAGAAAAGTAGGGGACAAATGCGCCTCTTGCATTGCTCAGGACAGTTTTGCTGAGCAGGCAACACCCAAGTGCCTGGAGAAAGAACATCTGAAATCTGACCTGGAGGGTGCCAACCACACTCTATAGCTAAGTTTTGCTGAAGGCATAATATTCCAAATCAAAGTGAATGAATAAAGCAGAATGACCCCAAACACATTCTGCTGGAGTCTGACTCTGGGAATGGACTTAGAGACCCTAGACCCACACCTGGTCTATCTGCTGTGCGCTGTTACTCCTGGCTCCCAAGCGGACCATGCCAAGGGCAGCTGAGAGGCTCAGAGGACAGAAGAAGAAGTTTTTATGATGATTATCTTTGCTTATCTCCTGGAAAAGATCAAAGCCAAATTTGGTGTTTGCTGCAACCAGAGACTCCATCCTGAAACTGACGATAGTCTAAAACCAAAGACAAAGCAAAACAGAGAAAGAGAACATGATGATTAGAGGGAAATAAATAAATACTTCTCATTTTAAATACACAAGGTACAATCATTATACAAGGACTCACTATGTTATTAAAAACCAGAAAACTAAGATCACCATCATCCTGGTACATAGATACTGACGTCCATATTGCCATTGATACAGAAAGAAGTCTGTTTTCATTCAGTGGTGCGAATTCGCTTCCTAGAGCTACCATAACAAATTCTCACAAACCAGGTGGCTTAAACAACAGGAATTTACCCCCCCCCCTTAGTTCTGGAGACCAAACGTCCAAATTCAAGGTGTTGGGAGAATCAGATCATGCTGGAGGCTGTCAGGAAAAAGATTTCCTGCCTCTCTCCCAACTTCCAGTGGCTACCAGCAAGCCTTGACATTCCTTGGTTTATAGAAGCATCACGAATCTCCACCTCCAACTTCATACGGTGTTCTTCCTTGTATCTTCTGTGGAGTCCAAATTTCTGCTTTCTCATAAGGACACCAGTCATTGGACGAGGGCCCACACAGCAGTATGGCCTCATCTTAACTTGATTACATTTGCAAAGACCCTATTCCCCATGAAGAACACATTCACAGGTACCAGGGATAAGGACTTAAACCAATCTTTGGGGGACACAATTCTACCCACTTTGTGGTAGAACTTCCTTTATTCAGGTAAGACAAATTTATAGGCAACCATGTCCTCAAAGTCAAGTTTGCAACCAAGAAAACTTCATTCCATCTCCTTCTCCACAGGCTATTCCTGGTTCTGCTTCAGTCTTCTACCTGTGCTCTCCCCTCAGCATCCTACAACTGAGGATATGCCCAGCAAATTGTCATGGGCCATGTCCTTTGTCACCTTCTCACATCCTTCTGACTCACTCCACATGCAGCCTCCAGGGCTTACAGTGCTCCTGTCAGTCATTGATACTGTTCAAGAGATCATTGATCTTGAAAGACGATGAGAGTGTAGAAATTCTACACTGAACCACAGGTGATATAGAACCGAAGTAAGGAAGTGACTCCGTGAGGACAGATTCCTTGCCCCCCACCAGTTTATCCTAGAACTATCAAGAAAATCTTACAAAGGGGCACCTGGGTAGCTCAGTCAATTAAGCAGCCAACCCTTGATTTCGGATCAGATCATGATCTCACAGTTCATGAGATTGAGTCCCACATCGGGCTCTGCGCTGACAGTGTGGAGCTTGCTTGGGATTCTCTCTCTCCCTTTCTCTCTGCCCCTACCTCTACCCTGCTCGTGCTCCATCTCCCAAAATAAATTTTAAAAAACATTTAAAAAAAAAAAGAAAAGAAAATCTTATGTAGATCTCACTTTGGACCATCCCTTTCAAATGAAATGTCTTTTCCTCCATCATTTTGCCTATGGATATTGTGTATTTCCTAGGTGGAAATGTAAGCCCTCTTATTTGTGTTTTTTATCAGCAGACACATGGCACATAGTAAATGCTGAGAAATCATTACTGCATTGAATTGAATGGTGGACATTGGTTTTAGCATCGTCTCAGTTTGATATAGGCCTTTTTAGTCTATAAAACCTAATTCAAAAAGATAACATTAGATATCTTTTTTTAAAAGTGCCAGATAGGTGGCTCAGTCAGATAAGTGTCTGACTTCGGCTCAGGTCATGATCTCAGTTTGTGGGTTTGAGCTCCGTGTTGTCAGGCTCTGTGCCCCGTGTCAGGCTCTGTGCTGACAGCCAGCTCAGAGCCTGGAGCCTGTTTCAGATTCTGTGTCTGCCTCTCTCTCTGCCCCTCCCCAGCTCATGCTCTGTCTCTCTCTCTCTCTCTCTCTCTCTCTCAAAAATAATAAAATAAAATAAAATAAAATAAAATAAAATAAATTGTGCCAGACATATGTTTTACACATATTCGCTTTAACCCTACAAGTCTCCAGGCTAAATACTGGCAGTCCTCTTATACCAGATGAGAAAAGAGTTGAAAAATCGAATCACACACATTGGCTTCTTTCTACTGTAGCTATTATTTCTACTAAGTTCCCCTCAGTATAGGATAGGCTGACCAAACACGCACCCGCTATATATTAGGAATTTTCCCCCTTGTTCAACTTATAGTCCATTTTTATTCTTACATTTTTTTCCTGCCATATTTGCATATGACTTGTATTTCTCATTTTGTTTGGATAAAACTGGATTCAGGTACGTGTTTTCCAAGAAACGTATGTCCTGAGTGTGCCTGAAAATTCAACAATGCCTCACACCTCAGAAGTCTACACCTCCAACATATTCACTCCACCAGCGGCTGGCATTACCCATTTAGAAATAAATTTTCTAGAACAGTAGAGAAATCAGATAAAGTCAAGGTGGTCTGGATTGAAAGGATTGCACAGGCTTTTGTTAAATCATAAAATTTTGGATAAAAAGTAGTCTGGTGTTTTTTAAATCCTCGGTCATATATTAGGAGGAACTTAACTGAGGACCAAGGGGGAGAAGAAGGGCGGAAATGGTGGGGGAAAGGGAGAGAGGAAAACCATGAGAGACTCTTGAATGCTGACAAAAACTGAGAACTGATGGATGTGGGGGGGAGGGGGGATGGGCATGGAGGAGGGCACTCGTGGGGATGAGCACTGGGTGTTATGTGGAAACTAATTTGACAATAAACTATTTGTAAAAATAAATAAATAAATAAAATAAATCCTCGGTCATATAACTAAGTGGATATTTAAATGTGGATAAACATTTAGTGGATCTAAAGTGTTTGGCATCAAAGGGAAAAGCAGTGGATATTCTGGTTCTTTGTTCATTGTCATTAAAGAAGCCTAGAGACATGATACTAAAAGAAATGAAGGGATTTGAGTTAAAAACTGAATTATCCCAATCTGGCTCTTTAAAATAATATTCCCGCCATTTGCCCAACTTCACCCTGTTTCTCGGTGCAGCTGGTGTCCCTGGCATCAGAGGGGAGGCGTGCTCCTTTCTGGCACGACACGCACAGAACCAGACAACCGGAGTGTTACCTGCGATGGAAAGGACGGGACTGCTCCCGCACGCCAACTCCCTTCTTCTGGAGACTAAAAACCCCGAGGCCCGAAGCAGTAAAGTGACTTGCACACAGTCACAGAGTTGGCCGGGAGAAAAGCTACGTTACGACCTCTCCACGCCCAGGCCTGCTCTCTCCAGGAACAGCTGTGTTTTGTGCCCACTTCTAATTCTGCTACTCCCCTTACTCACCCTGGGGCTGCAGTGCACCCCCTAATTCTCTTGGCCCATTGGGGCATAAAGAACGAGGAGCCTGCGCTAAATTTTGTGAATGTCTCCGGACAGTTTCCCAACCTGGCTCCAATTACTGTCATGTTCGGCCCCAGTCCCTTCTCTGAGCCTTATCTGCTTCTACCCCGTGGACTGGTTCTGAGTTTCCCTGAGAGCCTATGTGCCTTTAATTCTGCTCCAGACTCCAGGGGAGAAGCGAGAATGGTAGTGAGAGAAAAATGGCCTCAAAGCCGCAGTTGATGTTGGATGGCTATAGGGGAACATTAGGGTTAGATGAAAATCTTGCCTGGTGTTCTAGAAAACTCTAAAATATTAAAAAATAACTTTAATTGCTGGAGGAGCTTTGCTTGGGGATTGGGCTAAATGGGCAAGGGGCATTAAGGAAGACACTTGTTGGATGAGCACTGACTGTTATACGTAGGGGATGAATCCCTGGAATCTACTCCTCAAATCATCATTGCGCTATATGCTAACTAACTTGGATGTAAATAAATAAATAAATAAATAAATAAATAAATAACTTAATCAAAATGGCTTCTGGTTATTACCTTTGGAGGGCCGTTTTTTGTTTTGCTTGTTTTTAAATCAGAAACTGGCTAAATCTGACAGTGACTTAATTGCTCAGTAAACATTTATAGAGTTCTCCCATGGGGGTCAGTGATTACGCATCAAAGGATGAAATGAATGAGACCCAGTCTCTGCGTCTGAGAAATCCACCATCTGATAGAGCACGTACTGCATTAGAGGCAGCCCTGGCGGGAATGAAAGAGCATAGACAGAAGAATACGGTATTAATTCGCAAAATGAAATGGAAAAGGTGAAAGAGAATGATGTAGGAAAAACTTTTTTAAATGGCACTCATCGAAACTTATTCTAATATTGTTCTGATAATATTCAAAAGGCAATTTAAAAATATAATACTTTTAACATTCTTAAATCCACTTAACACTGTTCTTATTCATTAGAGATAAGCTTTGGTGGGCAATAAAAGGCAGGTTACAGCAAAAGATAAAGTAAAATAAAAAGACCTCTAAGGTCAGTTTTCTTGTCCTTATCAAAAATCCCTTTACGGGGCGCCTGGGTGGCTTAGTCGGTTAAGCATCCGACTTTCGCTTAGGTCATGATCTCGCGGTTCGTGGGTTCGAGCCCCGTGTCGGGCTCTGTGCTGACTGCCAGCTCGGAGCCTGGAGCCTATTTCGGAGTCTGTGTCTCCCTCTCTCTCTGACCCTCCCCTGCTCACGCTGTCTCTCTCTCCTAGAAATAAATAAAAATATTTTTTAAAAATCCCTTTACATCAGTACTAATCTAAAAACAGTAGGATTAAACCAGTCTCCAAATCCACTGGATTTATGAGTGGGACCAGCTTAGCAATAAATGAACAGTAGAGATCTAATCATCATCATACACAAATGTAACCCTAATAGATACTTTTCAGAGGCGTGTAGCAAAATCATTTGGGATTTAAAAAACTGTGTGTACAAATATATTCATAGAAAGACTTCTGTAATAGCCCAAACTCAGAAGCAAACCAAATGTCCATCATCAGTAGGATAAATACACAGCTTGTGGGTTAGTCCTATGGCAGAACATACACACCAATGGGTCTGAATGAACTATAATGACATGGATCAGCCCATAATGACATGGATCTCACAAGCCCAATGTTGTGTGAATGAAGCTGAACATGAAGAGTCCATAGTAATACAGTTATGTATGACTTTTCTATGTATTTGTGTATGTATACATTTATACATAAATTATATATACATAAAGTTTAATTTTACTTTTAAAACTTTTTTTTAACATTTATTTATTTATTTATTTATTTTTATTTATTTCTAGGAGAGAGAGAGAGAGAGACAGTGTGAGCAGGGGAGGGTCAGAGAGAGAGGGAGACACAGACTCTGAAATAGGCTCCAGGCTCCGAGCTGGCAGTCAGCACAGAGCCCGACGCGGGGCTCGAACCCACGAACCGCGAGATCATGACCTAAGCGAAGGTCGGACGCTTAACCGACTAAGCCACCCAGGCGCCCCAACATTTATTTATTTTTAAAGGAGAGAGACACAGAACGTGAACAGGGAAGGGGCAGAGAGAGAAAAAAAACACAGAATCTGAAGCAGGCTCGGCTCTGAGCTGTCAGCACAGAGTCTGACATGGGGCTCGAACTCACAAGATGTGAGATCATGACTTGACCCAAAGTTGGAAGTATAACTGACTGAGCCACCCACATAATCCTCTAAAGTATAATTATTTTAAAACATACTTTAGCTGTATTACCAAGCATGACAGCAAATTTTAAGGCACTGCAAATTTATTTGTGTTCAACACAAGAACCAAATTGCTATTGAAAATTGAAGAGTAACTTTTCACAATGAAATTTAATCTCCAGATCCAATTAGGACGTTCCCTGAGCATTAACAGGAGGTACTTTATGTCCATTCTGGAAAACATCCACCACAGAAAGAACACACTTATTTCGGTTAAGTCTAAACCTAAAGGCTAAGTGCTGATGTAAGCTGCTTCTTAATAAGCTACAACTTGAAAAACTTGTACATAATTTACCTCAGTCATCAATATTTCCAGAGTTGAAATAATCTTTAAAATAGTAAGGTCCTTCAAAAATCTATTCAGCTCAAGGAATTAATACTACCACACCTATGATGACTTTGGAATAATAGCTACCATTTGATTTGCCTGACATTTCACAAATGTTGTCTCTGATTCTCAAACAAGCCTATACATTGAAAATTATCTTCATTTTACAACCAATCATTAAGTGACACAGCTGATCTACAAATCTGGCAGTGCAGCCCAAAGTCAAAGCCACCATCTTTCTTCAACTATGCCGTGCTACAGTTGGAGCAGATAACCTTGTGCTCTGTAGGACTACAGCTCAATTAACCCACCACAGAGTTTCATGACAGGAAGATGTTCTTCTAATAAATAAGAAAATAATACTGTAAATTAATGATAATACAGTAATAAAACACGTATTATTGGTTTCACCGGTGTCTCTGACCAATAGCCAACATTGGGCATCCATCAGTACTGCCCTGAACTACCTCTCTGCCAACAGGCATCTTGGGCCCCATTCGGTCCTCCAAGGCTCCTCTAATCTACTGGGGGCTTGCTTCTCTACACTGAACATTTACTCAAAAATCTCTTTCAGATTGCACTAAAATCTATGCAAATATCGTAAAAATAGATGGGAACTTCATGATTGCAAACAATCAATGACTTAGGTCATTTCATACTTACCATCCCCAATATCACCCCTTACCAACCATAACTTTAAAGGCAAGGGGTAATTGGTAATCTTTATTCAGAAAACAAGGAAAACCCCACTTTGATGTCAATAGAAATGTTATCATATTTTTGCCTACAGTACTTTCCAACTAAGTGATTCATGTTTTAACCTCTAATGAAGCAAAAGGACTTTGGTTCTCAAATTCATAGTTATTGTGCAGAGGGAAGAATATCAGTTATCATTAATGATATTCTGTAATCTCAACACTAAATTTGAATTTTGCTCTCACAATATTGACAGATCAATTGTCTTTATTTTCCGTGTGCTTTCTAATCCTGCTGTTATAGCATAATTATATTAAACACACAACAGTCATATTACTGTTTCTTTTATCATGCTGTGACATAATTATTTTTTATATTTCTGTCTTTGCTTCCAAAGCATAATTTTCTTCCAGGAAAGTTCCGTGTCTTAGATTCATCTTTTTATCCCATCAGTAAAGAATATAAATGGTGGCACAATAAAAGTACTTAGTATGCTTTTAGGGATTTATTGGCTAACATCTGCCCCTTTTTCACTGCAAATAATTTGAATGTTTGAAATATTAGATGATAATTCTGTATTCCATATTCACTCTGCATAACTTCTGCAGGTACCTGTAATCAATAAAGATGTTACATAACAGAATCAACTTTTGATTACCTGTCTACTGTAATAGGAATAGTTCACTTGTGAAAATTGGTTTCCTATACAGTGAAAATAGAAAAGTTTAGACAAGATAGGTTTTCCAACACGCCAAAATATTCTGGGGGAAATTGTTCTTTCCAAATAGTAGGAAGGAAAAATTATATCCCCAAAATATTTCATATCTTATAATTTTCATAATTTCCACAAAGCTATGCATAACCCAAGAATGAGATTCCAACTTGACACAGGTAGATGCTCTCCTGCTAGCATAAATACTCAGATCTGGTTAAAGCTAACTAAGTGACAAACAATATGTAAAAACAAAGAAATAGTTATGAAAGATGCAATCAAAAGCATTTCCAATTTATGGTGCAAAAGAGAAATGTAAGCTCATATTATTTAAAATATGGACAATCTATTCATGGTGAAAGTAGCAGTTTTTTGCTACTGAGAATGAGACTGGTGCTCAAGTTGAATGAGCTGATGGATATGAGCCACCAGTCCAAGAATCTGTTTAAAATTCAGACATTTACTGATTTTATGGTGACAAAAAATCTCATTTGTGATATTTAAAAATAGATAGATATTCTAAATATTACATCATTTTATCTTACAGAAATAATAAAAAGATAAAATACAATCTTCCAAGTATGTAACGATTTTATAACTACTCAAACGTCCACATTTTAAGAAAATCAGTCAGATACATCAGATATCTGACTGGGTGCATGGGGACTGAAGACGGTGACCAATATTGTTAATAACTCCTAGCAAGTATTGCCACCTTTACAAAAACTTCAACACATCATAAAACAAACTGCTCTTTTTTAAAACACATTGACTTAATAATAAAAATGACATATCCTGTGGCTTCAACCAAATCTCTTTTGGGTTTCTATTATTTGAAATAATTTTCCAGTGCAATATTCATCATCAAAAATTATATTAGGCAATGCTCACAGTTACCTTCTTGCCCTCGGAGTTGCTGCTAACAGCCGGCCAGGTAAGTTTCAATCCACACCCTGTCAGGAATGGAAATATATGAACTTTGCCCCTCCCACAAGGGCACTTTTCCAAGAGCCACTGGGGAATCCAGAGTAAAATTGTCACTGATTGATTAAAGGTAGGGAAAAAAAAGAGAAATATATGGTATATATATTTTCAAATAATTTACACCTTCTATGCTTTCCACTAAATTAAATATTTGACTTACTATGTTTATTTTTTCAATATTTATTTACTTATTTTGACAGAGAGAGAGAGAAGGAGAGAGAGAGGGCAGGGGAGAGGCAGAGAGAGAGGGAGAGACAGAATCTTAAGCAGGTTCCACACTGTCAGCACAGAGCCTAACATGAGACGCAGGGCTAAACTCAGGGCTTGAACTCATGAACCATGAGATCATGACCTGAGCCGAAACCAAGAGTCACTTAACTGACTGAACCATGCAGGCACCCTTAACTTACTACGTTTGTATTTTCTATGCTTTTTCCAGTTGGGTCTCTTTTGAGATGCCTCATTTGACCCACACCTTTTAACCCGAATTCCTATACTAGAGAGTAAAGAAGAGAACTATTTCACTTCATCTAATCATTGTCTTGGATATTCTCTTATACTCCAATTTCTATATTATCCTAACCTTTTTTCGCCTGCAAAATACATGTTGAACTATTCTCAATGTTCTTTTTTCTTTTCTTTTTTTCCTACAGCAGCCCTGGGGTGGAAATGGAGGTTACTATTTAATTTATCAACTAGAATAGCTGAAAACCAATCAGAGGATGAAAATTATCAAGACCCACTGATAGAGAGACCAGGCTGGGGTGGGGGGTGCTTTCTACAAGAAAACGAATTTGCTAGGAAGCTAAGAACTAATCAACTGTGTGCCAATATCTCCAGAAAGTCTGTCCAATTTCACTTCCCTGCCATGTGACCTACTCATCTCTTATCTCATTTATTTCCTCAAGGAATTTTAGAGCTCCAGACATCTCACTCTCTTCCTTTCCTTTTCTGCCTTCCTTTCTTCTTCCTCGCTTTCTCCCTCCCATCCATCCTTCTTGCCTTCCCTCCTTTCTTCCTTCTTCTTTCTTCCTTTCCTTATTGCCACCCTTCCTTCCTTTTTCCTTTTTTTCCTTATGAGGCTTCAAACAAGGTTTTCATGGGGCAAATATATTTCACCACTAAGAAACAAAAGTGTTCAAACTGAGCCAGATGGCTTCTGATGTTGCTTTTAGTTCTAACATTCTGCAATCCTGATTTGTTTATGACTGTAAACATGGGGGTCAGTGAATTGGGAACAAAGGTTCTAACTACGGGGAGTTAGGAAAAGTGAAAACTTGTGGAACTAACAAGATTTAGGGACTGAACGAGGACTTTCTGGCCTGGCTCCGTTTTTGACAACTTCGTCTTCCTTTCCTAACTTCTTGACAGACAATAATTTTTCAGAGCTCCAACCCAACAAATATGACTACATGAGACATGAAATTCAAAAGAAAACTTAAAGTAGGGATATTGACATTATGGAGAAAATAAGCCGCTTATATATACTGTACATACAGCTATACGGAGAATATAAGCTACTTATGCAGCTAGCGTAGGAAGGCAATAAGTATGAGCCAGTTTTACAGGATAAGATATTGACCACTGGAAATTCATAGCTGATTATCAAGAGAGTCTCTCGATTATCGATAGTGAACATAGAAAACAAATATGTTGTTAATTCTCTTCCCTTTTTTGCTTGAAAAAAAATGCTTGTGGGTTTTCCTCTAAGCTCTTCCACAAAATTCTAAAAACCATCATTTTTCAGTTGAATTTCATCATTCGTTACAACTTACAAGAGGTTGGAAAATTTTAACATGTAATCAATTAATACTGTCCGCCAGTTGATCCATACTTCGCGAGGTTGCGATCCAGCACCATCTTTCAAAAGGGAGACTATTTACATTTAAGGGAGGGTGATTGTTTTTTATCTGGTCCCCTGGATTGTTGGTTGTCACATTTGTTGTTGTTGGCGCTGATATTCACATCACGTTGGGCTTCTGGGCGCCTGAGCAGATTCAAAGCTTGTTTGAATATCTTTCATCTAGGATTGCATCTGTTTATCCTCTCAAATAATCATCTGTTTATCTTCTGATAGACTTCAACAAAGGCCTGAGTACAGATGACTGTATGCTACAAGCCTAAAAATTTGATGTGGTGTGATTGCTCAATCAGTAATGATGAAATCTGCCACTATATGTAGCTAAATATTCAGGTAAGGTAATAAATCACTGAGGAGTATGTGAGAATTCATTGAGCACCTACTATGTGCTAAGCATCATGTGTGATTTTGCATGCATAATCTCATGTGAGTGAAAAAAGTCAGCTTCTCTAATATCAGTGACTTAAAACGTCAGAAAATTACAGTAGAGTTTGAAGGAATCTTAGAGGTCACTAACCTGACAGTGCAAGGCAAGCCAGCAAGGTTTTCTGTGTCAACAGGCTGTAAGAGCACGATTTCATCAAGGGTAGAGTTGGACGGCTCCTCCTAGCTATGTTACAACTCATGATGAGTTATGAACCAATCTTTTAAGTCATCAGTAACTGGTCATTTTCTGCCTGGGATTAAACATTCAGGAATGCCAGGACAACTCACCAAAGTCATTGCCAGCTTGTGATGCAACACAGTGTGATTAAAATCCTCTGGTGCCATGAAGGCAGTCTATTTGAAAGATTGTCAAGAGGCTCTTTTTCATCTAATTTTACATCACATTACTAAGGAAACAAAATGTTTCTGGGGGAAATATCAGCATCGAGGCCTTCGAATCTAACGAAAAATGTATCTTTTACCTAAAGTGAGCTGTTGACCTCACATGTGTCATTTTATCCTCCAAACTTAAAAGCCTGGGTAACAGCGCATACAATCAAAAATATGTACACATAAACCATTAAAACGACAAAAAGCAACAATAATGAAGACAAAAAACACACCAAGCTTGCTTTAACATTTGCTCTTAAGATGGCAATCACCCTTCCCATAAAAGCCCTCAGTTCACCTAGATCCCAAGCTGAGGGCTCCTGGCTTGGGATCAATGCCAACTGCCTGTTCCAATGGGACAGAGACACAGAGACCAGAGAGGGTCAAAGCCACGAGATGGCAAAGAATACGACAAGAAACAAGAAGCACATTGGCAATCAGAGGCTCTAGATCCCACTCTGCATCTTACTAGCCTGACACGTGGAACAAATACCTCTTGAACTTCAATTTTCTCACCTATCAAAAAATAGGAATAATAATGTGTCCTTCATTGCTCTAATATGTTACACAATATGTTAGTGTCATTAGTGTAATTATATAGAATTAGTACTGCATAAATGTTTTTTCACTTCTTGGCCAAATCTGTATGACATCTATCTGTTTCTTCTGTAATTGTAAACCAGGTTTTCAACCTTCTGAGCAAGGCTCACAGATGATAGTCTTTGAGTTAAATCCAGCCTACTGTCTCTTTTTAATAAATTTTTATAAACACGCGGTCATGCCCATTCATTTACTACTATCTATGGCTGCTTTCCAGCTACAACAGCAGAGTCAAATATTTGTGAAGAGACCATATGGCCTGCAAAATCAAAAATATTTATTATCTGGTCCTTTACTAAGAAGTTTGCCCATCCTTCCTTTAAATGATAAAATACCATAATTTTTAACACCTGTGAAAATTTTATAGCCTTAGGTATTAACTTCTCTTTACATAGAACAAATGTTATAATATACCGATAAGAAGTACAGTTTCTTAAATTAAAAATATGCATTTGGGGGACCGCTGGCTAGCTCAGTCGGTTAAGCTTCTGACTTTGGCTCAGGTCATGATCTCGCATTCATGAGTTCAAGCCATGCATCAGGCTCTGTGCTGACAGCTCAGAGCCTAGAGCCTGCCTGGGATTCTGTGTCTCCCTCTCTCTCTCCCAATCTCTCTCTCTCTCTCTCTTTCTCTCTCAAAAATAAATAAACATTTAAAAATATTTTTAACATGTATTTGGATTTGATCTTAACCCCAGACAAAACTTCAGACCTCTTGAATATTACAGTAAAAGAATAGCCCAGACATCCATTTGGTAGCTATTTCTCAAGTGCCTACTATGAGTCAGGCACTGGCTATCTGGTGAGCAAGAGTGTGATTGCCCCTGAACTCATGACAGCTAGTGCAAGAGGAGCTTACATCCTGGACTGTCTTACCTGCATCTACATGTAATTAAAATTTACAGGGGACCTAATACATCACAGGCCCTTCTGCATCCATTACCTCATTCAGTTCTTCCAATAAGCCAAGGAGGAAGACACTGTTTTCCCAGTAGACAAATGAAGGAAGCTAGGACTCAGACACAGTAAGTTGCTCACAGTCATGAAGCTAGAAAGTAGCAGGAGAGTAACACCTCCCTTTTGCCCCAATGCCAAGAATAAAGATCTTCAAACACCTAGCTTCAACACTGGGATGACCAGCCCCAGAGACGCCTGCACCACCAGCTCCTTGCCTATCTCCCAGCACATACCTGGAAGCCAGTGAGGACTGTCCCCAGCTGAGGTCTGTGCTCTGATGAAGTCAATTCAATTATCATACAGAGGAGGGAGCAGCCGAGCCTTACCGCCTCTGAAAACTGGTAAGGATAGGTGCTGAGCAAGTAATTCTATGACTTTTTAATTATGACCATGAATCACAATGATTAGCCTATAAGACGGGGGGGGGGGGGAAGACACAAGTTTATGGTCATTAACTCAATGAATTTTAAATTAAAGTAATTATCTCTAAGTCTGTTATCGCTCTTTTAGAACTAGAACATTCCACTGGCACAGCCTCTCTTTATAAGTCATCCCACAGCCTGCTATTTTTGGGAAACCAGGGGTTACAGAAGAAGCCCTTAGAAAGGGCTGCTAGAAAGGCTTGGATTTCTATCTCTGTTCCTTATTCTCCCCAAACAACTTAGAGACCTTACAGCACTATGAAACTCCATGAGTTCATAGTTTGTAAGT